GAGAGGAATAAAGTCACAAAACAAACAAATGGAAATAAAATAAAAGCTGAGGCAAATGGAAAAAAGAAACAGGATTAACATTTACTATAATTTAGTGGGAAAGAGGAAAGCACATTTGCACTAGAGGAAAACTTGCTATTACAGCCATGCAACCATATTAATACATTTGGTTGCACAAATGCATACAGACTAACATCCAGAGAGGCTGCACCAGTGTACGGAGCCCAGGCACTCAGGTCCTCATTTTGGGCCTGTTGATTTTCAGGGTGTGACCCTGGATAACAGACAACCTCTCTGAGCTCCGGGGTTTGGTTTGGTTTTGTTGTTTTTTTTATCTGGAAATCCTTTTCTTTACCCTGGAGATACTTCCCTCTGCCCTTCCTAGTTCCCAGAGGTGCTGAGGAAACAATGTACTCAACAGGCATTTATGTGATACTACATGCCGGACAGGTGTGAATGTGCTTTGCCATATGAAAAAAGGAGTATGAATAACATATCAATTATCAATTTAAAAAAATACTATGCCTTCATGCTCCCTGACGTTAGCTCTTCCTTAGAAGTAGGATTTCTAGAAGTAAAACGTGAAACGTCACTTTCAAATGGGGTCCAAAAATCTCCCGGTAGTGAACATGTCTTGAGCTTCCCAACTCCCCTCAGGGAGCATTTCATTCCAAGGAAGGAGAAAGGAGAGGTGAGTTCTGGGCTTGTAGGTGACCACACGCTGTGGGGTTCCCAGCCCCAAATGTTTAGGTTCTTTGCCATTTGGGGCTCTACACATTAGATTCAGAGTGGCAGATGCTTTAGCAAGTGGAAGTGACACTGAGATCCTGGACCTTAAAGGCACAATCTTCAACCCAAAACCCAAGCACAGAAATGCAAGTCCTGGACCCAAAGGGCGGCTGAACGAGACCCGGCATTGTGCGTTGGCTGGAGTGTGGGTTCACTCTGAGGGTATGTTTTTTTAAATCTACAGGTTAGCTCATACCTGGGAGCCACTGGAAGGAAATTAATAAAATATGACTTTTTTTTTGGAACAATGAAAATCATATGATGCCTGGAAAAAGGACTTGGCATCATAGATAAGGCAAGGAAAGATACTACAGAAAATAACAGGTGATACTGATGGCGACAGGTACACAGGGCACTGAGAAGTGGAGTTTCCACTTAGCTTTTCTAAAATCAGTCTTGGCACCTTCACTAAAAATAAAATCACTAATGTGTCCCCAGCCTGTTCCAGAGACCCTTTGGTCCTTATTGTTTCTCAAAGCTCCCCAGCAGCTTGTCACAGGAAATATTTGTTGTCTGCCCTTGTGCTCACTTCCTGGTTGGAAGGATTCCCTGAGGCATTGCTGGGATTGTGTGAATGTTCCACTTGGACATATTCAAGACTATGGCCATCCTGGGGGTCACAGGGCACACTGATGGCTAACTGCTCCTTCCTCGGCCACTGGACTGCCACAGCCCCGATTCCTCTTACATGTCCTCCAAACCCTCCTTCCCCTCATCACACTCATTTCAAATCCCTGAGGGCCTGTGTGTTTATTATTATCCTTGCTTTCCTGGGCCCTCATCCTTAGAATGGCTTCCTTAGTTCAGACCTATTGGGCTTTGGGTGGGATAACGCATTCTCAGGTGTTATAGCTTTGAAAAAGGCATCCCAGGAAATAAATGAAAGGGGCACTCTCATTTTCTGCTATGCCAAGCATAGGGGAAATTGCTTTCACCTTAAGATGAAAAATACTGCTGGAAACTAGATCAGCCATGTTTTAAACTGGATAGTCTCCTTCTTCACCTGATACTCTGAGAACAGTATTTCTCAGAGCACAGATGTTACTAGGAAAGAAAAAACAAAGATTCTATGATCAAATAAATCTGGGAAATGCTGGATTAAATAAAATTGGAGAGCTTTCTTTCTTATATGACTTTTTCGATCCTTTGATCTGCTAATTGCACCAAGATTCTCCAAGATTGAGTTATAATATGCAGCACTTTCCCGAAATTCTCTGCCCACTGAATCTCTGTTTCAAGACTTTCCTCATGGGACTAATGTTCCAAAGTTACTTTGGGAAATGCTAGTCTAGACTTATAACCCTTGGATTCAGTTTCTCCCGAGGAGAAAGCAAAACCATAGTGAAGGAAAGAGGGACTGGGAAGAAATGGAAAAAGAATCTAATTTTGCAAGCCTGGCAATACTTAAATTGAATTTCCTAAGGAAAAATGAACTTCTCTGGAAAAGTAGCAAAGTGACTGACTTTTTATATTTCTTCATTTTCATGTTCTGATCCCTTAATAAATCTCAGAAGACAATGTCAACATTTGCAGGCCCTCTTCCCGAAGACAGTGATGGTCAACCTTCGGGGCATAGGAAAGTCGAGGCTACAAGATTGATGGGAAGGGAATTGGGAATCCTGGAAGCGATACCTTCCTGTTAAGTCAGTTCAGTGAACATGGGTCCATTATGGACATTTAGTTCAAATCTCATTCATATCATCCATTATTTAGACTCCAGTGTTGTCTCACACTAATAGAAGTCTGTCACATTCTCTGGAGAAGTAACTCCACTTCATGCATATTAGCATATATGCTTACACAATTATGTGTAGAATTCACAATCAATTGGGACAGGCTTCCCAGCCTTTTAAGGCTGTTACTCTCTGGGACTTGGATTTATAACAATGCATATATTGATATAAGAGTTTTTGATGATTATGATTCTCAAATCTTCAGTATAGAGAGAGCGTCATTTCCCTAGACCTCAGACAGCTCATCAAAAAGGGCATCGTTGTCACTGGGGTCAGCTTCCTCATACCAGGTCCTTGCTTAGCTCTCCTCTTCTAACTGAAAATGTGCAACAAAGGAGCCTACTGCTTTGCTGACTCATCTTCCTAACAGTAGCAATGAGAAAGGTGTTTCCGAGGTCCTGATGACATACCTTAGCCACACTCCTCAAGGAATGTTAGCTCTTCTGGAAAGAGCCCCCACCCCCGAGCCATGATTCTGCCCTATGACAACCGCTCCTGTCAATGGACAAACATAAAAGGGTCAACCAAGCAGGCAAGTACTCTAGTTTCTGATTAAAGACCTCTGGAAAAGGAGCAAGAGATAACTTTTGTAAGAAAAAGCATTCTTAAGGCAGATAAATTTGATCTGGTGCCTTGCTGGTAGCAGGACATGTTAGCATACATGTCTCCATGATGAAACAAGCCTGTTTGCTATCCCACCAGGTCCTTGTGCAATCAACTCCCCCAGTTTGGCTCTAAATTCTTCTTTATGCCCCTATGGTGCTATCTATTCCTGTCTCTCTGAGCGGGGGGTGGAGTGGGGGGTCGGTGGGGGAGCCCACGTGGCCTTTTCGCACCAATAAAACCTCACACTCACCCTTCATGGGGGAAGGTTGAGGAGCAAAGTGTAGAGACCAGGAATGAGAATGAAGAGATGTGGTTAGCAGGATGCCAGTTATACTGGGGCAAGTGAGGGTGGTGGTGGTTGTGAGGGATGGGAAATGAATAAATAAAACCAAATCAAACTAAAACCACAGTCATACAAGATAATGACAGAAAAATAATATCCCTTTCCACTTTGCTGATCTCCAAATTGAGAACCATCTCTAGCTAATGACATCATTGGCGCCTTTCCATACTTGGCCTCAGAAACTGACAAGGCCTGTGTGTGAACACCTTCTGCAGGTGTTCTGAAAAGGACATTCCGAAGTAACCCACCAGCAGACACTGAGCCAGCAATAGGCTGCGTATCTACGAAAGAAGAAAGGAGGGGAGGAAAGAACATGCATAACATAAACAAGAACAGACAAAACCTTGAGGTGTCTGAGGGCAAATGGTTCCCAGTACAAGGGTGGGGCCAACCTTGGATTGGGGTTAGGGGACCTCCCTGTTGGAGCTACCTCACTACAAGCCCTAGGGAGCCCTTTATATGTTGTAAACTATACAAATGGCTCCCCCTGGAGTTGTGCTCCTGGTAAAATATCTTGGACACTTGTAATCTTAACTTCTCTTTTGGGATGTGAGTGGTATGAAGTGAGAATAAAACAGAGCCATCTGAAAAACCCCCACAAAGCTTTGGGAGCATATTAAGCATCCTTTCCTCCAACAAACAATTAAAACCCTCTTCGCACAGGTCATTCCAACAAGTCCATCCCTCACATATTCAAAAATACATAACAAAGACATTCACACTTGTTGAGATGCTTCTATCCCATTACCTCTGCCTCCATCCCTCTTGAAATTACCATTTAAGTTATTACCAGGATCATAAAGGGAAGGTTCTAATACAATCAAGGCGGAAATACTGCTAATATTGACTCTATCATCCTGCATCAAATTTAATCATTTCCATGAAACTCACCTTCAAGAGTTTTAATACTAAATGCTGTAAATGGTTTTTGCATTTGGTGGGTGAATGTAAAATAGTTTAAAAATCACAGGAGATTCTTGTATTTGTCAATCCATCTTTTCACTTGCTTTACTGAGTCAAGGGAGAAGACGGGGTCCAAGTCAAAGAAACCAGACCCCGTGACGTCACTGGTTGAAGTGCAAGCAACACAGATTTCTCTTCATGTCATTTCACCCCACTGCTACTTTGCATCACTAAGGAATTTTCTAGGAAACCGCTCAGCAAACTCAAGGCCTCTCTGGTTGCCGAGCTCATGGAAACAAAGTGCTTTCTCTTAAAACTGAAAAAGACATTCCGAAGTAACCACCAGTAGATACGAAGCTGGCAATAGGCTGCGTGTCTATGAAAGAAGAAAGGAGGGCAGGCAAGAAAATGCATAACATAAACAAGAACAGACAAAACCTTGAGGAGGAAGGAGAAAGGAAAACATTTAGATTCCTTGAGTGATGGAAATAAATACCAAAGCTATTAGTTTCAGTTCAAAGAACGTATCACTTTATGCTGTTTATTATTTCTCGAGGATGATTTATTTTATCTTAAAATATCCAAAGGGGAGAAGGGGTCCTGGAGGTAAGTGCAAGGGAACTGACCTGGTCGGGAGAGGGCCTGTGATTAGAATGCTGCGACCTCCCAGGAGACCGGTGGTGGTGGTGGTGGTGGTGGTGGTGGTGGTAGTGGTGATCCTCGTCGTAGTTGTCCGCCATCAGCTTCATCCTGTTCTGGGTCTGTGCAGAGCAAAAGCCAGGGAAGACTCTGTCAGGAGCCAGAAGCCCAGCCAAAGACACCCAGGGCATCATTATAGCACCTACAGGGCTCCCTTTGCTCCTAATCCACAAGTTTTCATTTGTAGGCACATTGAGACTTAAAAAGGAATGCATCACGCTTTGGTGAAAGAGGCTTTGCCACACCCTTGATGCTGCCTGGTCCTTGGATCTGCATTTGTAGATGTAACTGTACTTTCCCACGTGGTTTAAAGGGGGAAAGGATGAACTCGTCCAAAGGTGCTTTGTTTTACGTTGTCAAGCGATCACAGAGACCCAGAGTAAGCCTGCCACCACAGACTGCCAACAATCACATCCTACGCTCTAGAGCAAGCAAGACAAGGAAGCCCTGCATGAAAAGATGGGAGAGGACCGGGTGGAGACACGGAGCCACAGACAAACAATGGTCTTGAGAGACAAGGCAGGAAATCCACTCAAGAGCTGCCAAACGCAAAAATACTAATGGAGATGGTTTGTTGCTACGATGACTTCTGCCGAAAAAGAGCACTCTGTGGAGGTGGGGGGGTGGGCAATTGGGCAAAAGGACCACAGTTGATGGAGAAGAACTGACCACTGTAATTTACTCCCCACTATGATTGGCACAGGAGGCAAGCCACAGGTGTCACAGTGAAACCCCCAGGGCCATAGAATTGTTTTATTGTCTTGTTTCACTATGCAGGGCAATAACATACCAGCGATGAATTGACCTAACAGGGTCACAGAATCTAGAAAAATGCCTAAAAGGCAGATAAAAATATCCAACCCAGAAAGCTTACAAAGATGGGTTTAGAGATAAGACTAACTGGATTCAAGTCCTGCTGCACTTCTCTGCTGGTTTATTTGAGTTAACTATTTCTAAGACTCAATTTCCTCAACTCTAAAATGGGAGGGAGAGTGCCGCCCTCTCTATGAACCTGGCACAATAGGGACTTGCGAAAAAGGCAAATGCTGTTATTATTATTATTGTTGTTGTTTACTGTAAGGCACTTCTTTTTTAAAAAAAATATTTTTTTTATTGCTCTTTACAGAGAGAGAGGAAGGGAGAGGGAAAGAAAGAGAGAAACAACCACCAGCTGCCTCCTGCCTGTTTCCACTGGGGATGGAGCCCATAACCCTGGCATGTGCCCTGACTGGGAATCGAACCAGCAACCATTAGGTGCATATGATGACGCCCAAGCAACTGAGCCACACTGGCCAGGGCACCACTTCTCCTTCTTGATCCGTGTTTCCTTTGCCTGAGACACCTCCCACAGACATCTTCCCTCACCTCTAACTTGTGTGTCTGGCTAACTCACAGCCTTTTCCTGAACCCAACCTTGAGGCCAGGTGATGTGTGCCTCCTACTTATCACCACTCTGTACCCACAGACTTATCTATCCATCTGTTGGTAGACTCGAGGCTGTTTCTCTCGTCTGCCTCTCCCTAGAATCCAGCCCAGGGTCTACACAGTGTAGATATTCTATGCCTGTTGCTGTAATGCCTGGCTGAAGGAAAGAAGGGGGCATGACTCTGAGGGACGCTGCCACTCTAGAGGCAAGCCGCACCCTTGTTTCAGCCAGAGGAGGGGAGGCTCTCTCATGAATCACCTAACAATCTCACTGGTAGCTTGAGATGACGACCAGCCATCAGCACTTTAAGAGAGCTGGACGTCAGAGGTTGGCAGAACTGCCAACTAGTGGGAATTTTATTATGTGATATAAATAATGCTCTGATAATAATTCTGGACCTCACACAGTGTATTCTTGTAGTTTTTTCCACCCACAATCTAACTTACCCTCAAAACTTTCCTGGGACATATTATTACTCTCTTCCTCTGCAGCTAGAAAATCAAGGCATCGATTTCAGCCCCCAGAGCCTCTTTCTTGACATAGGGCTTGGAGGTTTTCTGGGCCCTCCAATTCTGAGTCGTTAGGCTTTTCCCCTTGCCCTGCTGTTAGCAAAAATGGCAAACAGCTGAACAGGTAGAAACCGCTTCCCATAAATGTTTCGATTCTGTTAAGTCTTGGAAACACCTCACATCCCAGTTCTACCTGCCAAAGAATGTCTCATGATTCACTCATTCCATTTTTTAAAAAATGTGTACAATATTTGAATGGCCCCAGAGTAGATGTAAAAAATGCATTATTTGGATGAAATTAATAAAATTAGAGGGAAAGATCCACCTAACAATTAAATTGGAAATCCCAGGCAACCTTTGGCAGCTGATAGCATGTCTGTCCTTCACTCACCCACTGACAGTATCAGAAGACCCAATGGACAAGGCTCGTCTTGTGAGAAATACTAGTAGGTCAGTTGCCAACTAAGTCCTGAGCTCTCCCAGATCTCCCTTATTTGGCAAGGTCAGTTGCCTTCTACTAAGTCCTGAGCTCTCCCAGATCTCCCTTATTTGGCCAACCCTGGTACAGGAGATGCTGAAATTCAGCGTTCACACCTCAAATTCCAGTATTGTCAGGAGCCTGTAACTTTTGAACTTGTGAACTAATAAATCTGGAATTGTGTCTTCCAATAGAATTCTGGGGCCTAAAGGGAGCTATAAGATCTGCTCTGGCCAATAAGGAAGGGACTTGCCCAAGAATGAACGATGGAGCCTAAATGAACAAATAATAATGGCTATTGTAAATATCATAATGTTCTTATCCTTTGGGGAAGCTCCTGTGATTTTATGAGATTATTTTCTTACCAGTGACAAGCCTAAAGTTTCCTACCTTTGAACTGTATCCCATAAAAGAATGTACAAGCTAAACAAGATGCTATATGCAGCCCTAAATGTGTCTGCTGAAATGAGGTGTTGGAGAGTAGGCATGTCATGGGATAAAGACTGTAAATGAATGATGTCATCTTTCCAATTTGGTGCTGAAATATAAATAAACCACATTGTTCATGTGAATACCAGATCTGGGGGAAATGTACACAGAGCAATTGTGAGCGGAAGAGGCTTCTTTTGATTAGTCTGGGCTGAAAGAGAAGAGTGTGAAACGGAGATGAAAAATGAGAGTTTGGCCTGATACTCTAGACTACTTTTATTTATCTTGCTTGTAACATATCCCCTAAACTGTGAGCGATTTCTTACAGGCTGGTTGCTAGTTTTTCTTCTGTAACAAAGTTTGACCAATCCTGCTTGCTTAATTGTCAGATTAGAAAAGAAGCTCCTTTAATTTTTTAAATCTACACTCCCTTCTTCATACTATACAACTGTACTTGTTTCCTAACACACCAAGAACGGTCGGGAAGGATAGGAAGCCATGAATAAGACTCCCTAAAGGCTGATGGGGTGGGGGGAACACTGAAGAAAATTGTAGCAAGCTTTGGACCAAGGATATTATTCATTCAAATAACTTCAGACACGTTTACTGGGTGATTCCATGCATAATGGTTCATATCCCTATAGCCATCAGCTAACACGAGGTGCCTACCACAAAGCCTTAAACAGTAAATCTGGGCAGTCACAATTGCATTCCCAGGAAAACTAATATAAAGTTGGAGAGGGTAGCTTCCCCCTGCTCTGCACTTGGGAACTCATGGACTCACTTAGCAATCCACTGAAGCCCGTTTTTATTTCCTTTCCAGTGTCTACCAAATGGCTGACCTGACACTTTTGCTTTTGGCTAACTGTGTTTTATTGGTTTTACGATATTATGTCATGGCTGCTGAGACCAATCTAATCAGATTTCATTTTCTACTTCCCTTTTCTTCCAGGCACCACCTTATTTCTCCAGGGCAATAGGATCCTAACAGCTCTCCTGCTGTACTCTTGCTTTCCATCGAGCACAATCTGGAGCCAGAGTGACCTCAGACCCACTGACTCCCTGGCTTCAAGCTCCTCACAGGCTCCCACGGCCTCAGGAAAAGAGCCCAGCTCCTCCGCAGCTTACAAGGCTCTTGGGGGGTGACTGCCGTTCACTTCCCAGCCTCACCACTCATCCCCTCTCCAAGGCCCTGGGACATGTGGTCTCTGTTCCGTCATGTTGTCATCCTCTACCTTCACCTGAATTATACCCTTCAGTTCTTCTGCTCTTAGCTTTGACACCATCACTTCCAGCAATGCCTTCCCCAAGCCTGCCTCAAAAGGGAGTGAGTGCTCATCCACTGCCCTCCCAGAATCCCGTGCCCTCCTTCAACCTCTCACTCATTACAGCACTTACCTCAATGAATGGTAAATAATCATGTGCTTTCTTGGCTTCCTCCACCACTAGGTTGAAAATTTCTCGAGGCAAACACTACGCCGAATTACTCTCGTACTCAACACCTAACCCAGAGTCAGGTGTATTAGTAGTAATAAGTGTGTGTTGAATATATGTAGGAATGGATGAAGGAATGAATGGAAAGGGCATAGACTACTTTGGAACAAATGAAAGAAAAAATACACAATTAGGGTCTATGATGGGCCAGTTGACTATGTAACCCCCCATGTAATAGTTTAACTTTACCTGTTGTATATTTGTTTTTGGTTGTTGTTGTTCTTAGACATGGGGAGAGCAATATAAATGTTCTTTTTCAAGAAATATTCCATTCTTTAGTAAAATGGATCCAGTGAGGTGTTATGGGGTTCACTTCCTTACTATACCCTAGCCTTTGAAAGAGCAGGGGCCGCAGGAACACTTTTGTTAGCACCAAAGTCAACCATGGAAAACTGAAACTTTCTCCATTAACGAAAATCCTGATGAACACCATCTGTGAAAAGGTGCCATATATTCCATCTCTCTTGACATTTCTGAAGAGTTTGTCCAAGGAGCCCTTGAAACAAAATGAAAATCCTTGATTGACTAGTAATAGACTCAATAGCTTAATGGCAATATGTAGCTATAAAAGTGTAATATTAAAACTGCCTTTAAAATATTTTAGCAAGGTGGCAATAACAAACTATGCTTTGATCAGTCATCTGGATCAAGTTAACAATAAAACCTTCATGAATGTGGTTTTAAATAAGAAAAAAATATGAGATCTGTTGCTATGGGATATGGAGA